AGAAGAAGAAGAAGAGAAAAACCATGGACATGACGCTTATCCCTTATCCCCCGCGGATGAACCGGCATGGGCTAGACGGCATCCATCCATCCATCCTCCGCGACGCCAACGGCGCCCGGGCCAGCCAGCACGGCCGGTTCCTGCGTGCCACCGCCGGTTTAATTTACTTGAACCGGGGGCCAAGGCCGGTGCATGGCACGCACGCACGCACGCACGGCACGCAAGACGCAGCGCAACAAAAGCGGTTCGGGCCGAGCGACCGCCACCGCCGTTGGTTTAGCTAACTTGAACCGGGGGCCAAGCACCTCACGAACTCCCGCCCAGCGCGCGCGCGCGCGGCTGCATGGGGGTGTGCATGGCCGCATGCACGGCACGGGGTGGTGACAAGAAATCTTGTTGTGGCCGGGACGCTTCCCCGGTAAATCCAAACGGCTCGCGTCCGTTCCCACGGTAGAGGTACAAAAAACGTTCGGTTTGAGTGGCGGACAAGCCCAAAGCCTGCTCGGCGCTTCTCGGCTCCGCCCATGGCCGCAGGTGGGGGCGGTGATATGCTCGAGCTGCCTTTCCACGCACTATACATGTCAAGAACAAAACTGACGCCTATCCCCCCCGGAGAAGATCGATCGAGATAAGATTGGTGATGCAAAACTACGGACGAAAATCGGTAGGCGTAACTTATCGTCTGGGGAAAAAGAATATGAGTACAAAGAAGAACTAGCTGGAAGCCATTTTACAACGGGATTCCGCTCGTTAATGCAAATATGTGCATGACAATGCAGTATTTTCTGGGTTGGGGGTAGGGGAGGGGGGCATAAGAATATAGCCATGACAGGGTGAGAAATGAGAAAATGTTGAGTGGGAGCCTGAGCGATTTTTTTCCTCTCCTATATGAAATAGTGTATTAACTTCTATATAGGGAAAATGAAATTCAGTCGTGTGTAAACAGTGTTTTGCTATTTGAATTGTTCCACGCATGCCACATTTGAGTTCGAAAGCCATGACTGTTGCATTTACTCCAAAAATGGCATAAGCATTGCAAGCCTATATAAGTTGATAGAACTATTATTAGTTCACATGCTTAATTTTTACCACCGGGAATACATATGCAAACTACACAAAACAATGGCATGGAGTTTCTGCTCCCGAACTCAAATGTGCCATTATAAATAGTTTTAAAAAACCAGAATTAAACATTGTTGAATTATCTACATACGAGCAAAATTCATGATGAAAAACATTGCTAGTGCTCGGGGTGAAAAAAATTGATGCTCCAAAAAGATTATTTTTTAGAATGGTTTGGAGCATTGATTTATTTTCCTTCGTCTAGAGCATTAGGAATGATTTGTATTAAAAAATCACGTGCATAGAACATTCAATAATGTTTGTTGCAAAAACTATTCAGAATTCTTTTGTTTTATTTACTGTTTTTTTAATGTTCATGGCAGGTGCATTTGGACTAGGGAGCAGAAGAACACTTTCGGCAAACACACAAGCTAAACTTATTGATGCTAGTCATAGATAAAACCTTACATAAGGTTTAGCGGTAATCCAAGGACTCACCTTTGGTAATGACATTGCCTTCTTTGTCCTCTTTCGCGTGTGTTTACCGATTCGGTAATAACCACAAAACGAGCTTTCTCGAAGAAAAAAAGGGAATTACAATACACCTTCCGAGAAAAGAAGAAAAAAAACACTACAATCACGCATAAGTAGTCGGGTCGCTCTCTCTGGGCGACTCGAGCAATGCCCCTAACTTTAGTCGCCACCGACCCTCCTTTCACTACCAACTCTCCTGCTCGGCGCCGTCTGAGGTCGCCGCCGGGAAAGCCCACGCAACAACCAAGGACGGCGGCGACGAGGCATCATCGCATGGCTTCGATTTTTGGTTGCTGGGTGCGTTAGGTCTAGTTGGCCATGGACACCATGGTGAATGTGTTGCGGCCTCTGCTGGTGGCAACAATGGCGGGCATGGCTTCCGGCAGTGTATCATGGTGCTTCCGGCATCAGAGGTGGCACTTTTCCGGCTGTCTGTGCCTCTGTAATCCTTTGGCTGGAGTGTTGGTGGTCTGTGGCCTCTCAACACAACATGAATCTGGTATTCTGCCTCGACCAGATCTGGATGTTTTTCTTATCGCCTCGTTCTCCTTGGGGTAGCCGGGGCTGGTTATTTTTTGTCCCCCTTCGGTCATCGGTATCCAGCTCCATATTTCCAAGGTTGAACTGATCCCTCCCATGGACCCCCCCTCCCTCGACCATCCTCGACCAGATCTGGATGTTATCCTTATCGCCTGTTCTCCTTGGGG